CTCTTAAACGTGATTAATATCTAGCTAAACTGTAAACTTGGATTTCTTGATAGATAGAGAAGAAGAGCAACAATGGGGTATATATAGCACCCTAATACAACAGCTAGAAATAAGAAAAAGACCAAAAAGTCCATTTAAAAAACTAGCCGTTAGGCTCATTTTGTCAGCTCGTCGGTCGACCGGTACGGTCGACCGATTAGTTCAAAAACCCTGAGAAAACATGTTTTGAAGCTGGCGGTCGACCGACGCAAATTTCGGTCGACCGAATGGAAATTTCGGTCGGCCGACGAAAATTCCGGTCGTCCGGAAAACTCTTGAAAAATATCTCAGAAACCAGACTACCGTCGGTCGACCGTATCGGTCGACCGAAATCTGATATGGGCAAAAAGACAGAACATAAACCACAAACACTAGAAAACTTATTAGTAATAAATTGTTTGTCAAATCATCATCAAAACTATAGGGTCAACAAGTTGATCAGTGTGCTGAGTCGTATCGCTGGTGGTCAACTAAGAGGTTGGCCGAGTAGTATCGCTTTTTGACTCGGTTACGCAAGATGTCGGCCAATCAAGTTGACCGTGCCAAATCGGATGTTATCTTGGTTGTGAATTAGTTTGGTTAGGTAAAGTGTAAGACACGTATCGACTTCTCTGTAGAGATTAATATTTATCATTTTTAGCGATTATAACAAAATAGTTACAGGATTTGATTCACCATCCTATTTCTTGTATTATGTCAATTTATTATAAAGAAAAAGGTGAATGTGCAACTTCTCGGTACCGTTGGCAATTCATAAATTGCCAGAGTTATCTTTACTTTATTTTGTATCACCTTGTCGAAAAAGTAAACTTGTGCATTACTGGAAAATAACGAGTGGATTACTATATTTCCTGGCACTAGAAATTTTCAGTGTGTAATCGTGTATGCACTTGGTACGGACATACAATACAAGAGTAAGAAACAACCCTTTTTTTTGAATTATTATCGATAAATTTCAATCAGATATGGTCACAAACGACATGATCCCTTAAAAGTATCTTATAGGAAAGAACTTGTGAATCCTTACTATATTTACACTGTTCAATGAGGTTAAAGAAACACAATAGCCTTTGAACTTGAACCCGAGATAATTCGTTTCCAGGTTGTTTGTATATTGTCCAATCCCAGAACAAGAGTTTTCAATTAGGAAAGACGATTCCTAAATTTCAGCAGATAGTATTCAATTCATAGTAAGTTACCTAAACTCCATTTGCATAAACATAAACATTGGATCCTAAGTCATCCAAGTTAATAGCAGCGAAAACACATCACATTATATATGGAAAATGTATTAGACTCTGAAGCAGCACTAATAATACAGCAACAGGTGACAGCAGTTAAACAAGTTTTTATTGTCTTTCAACCTTTATTAACAACAAACCTCAAGATGAAAGAAGCAAACTGATAAATAAACCCCTTTAAGATAGGTTGTGAAGTAAAATTACAAATCTACTGTGATTTTTGCATCCAGAGCAGTGAACTCATTGAAGAAGGCCTTAAAATGCTCATACGAATGTGTAACATCATCTACAGCACACATTTCTCGTATGCTATGCATCGATAATTGCGGAGCACCAACATCCACAGTTCGAATACCAACACCGCTAGCAAGTATGGGACCGATGGTTGAACCACATGGCATATCATTACGAACCACAAAATCCTACAATATAAATATTGCTTAACAATTAATAAGATACAACATGTGCAAGCAAAGTGCATTTTGAGTTAGGATACAAAATCCTACAATGTTAACTTGAAATGATAAATATTACATGAGTGTACTGGTAGTTCAATCAGTAAAATGAATGGTCACCTCACACCTATTTCTTCCATAATAAGATACAACATGTGCAAGCAAAGTGCATTTTGAGTTAGGATAAGCAATTCTCAGAGCAGTTGTTGGTTGCGTTTTGTGCTTGTTTTTCTTTTCCCTTTTAAATATCTTCTTTTTTTGTTCCTAATAATGCTAGATTTATTAATCTTCGTGTTCGACTGTCATTCGGTGGAAATCATCCTTCCTCATATACTGCAAACACTTCAACATAACCTCCCGGATCCAAATTAAATATATGATTAAGAAACCTATAAAAGCTACAAATACTAAGCCAGCATGCACATATGAAAAACAGGAACATGATTGCTTAATTGACAACAGTAAAAGATAACAATAATCATAATATTCTGCAACTGAGTCAACTAACCTGGATAGGTAACTTGTGCCTCTCTGCAATCTCTCGGAATATGAATGCAGTGATGGCATTTGTGGCGTAACGCTGATTAGCATTATGTTTAATAACAAGACCGCTATGCATTTTAGGTTGATGATTTTCCTCATGTTTGTCCTGGGATAAGATTGTGCAAGAAAATGTCAAGTTCTGCACGCTACATCTCAACTAATAAGAATGCATGGAACATTGCTAAGGAAAAAAGGGAGAATTCAAATTTCTGAGTTCTAACATGTCAATGATAACCTTTGGTTTACCATTAACTATCAAATGGAAAAACATACCATATAATTAGGATGCAAAGCATGTGCCATGTCTGCAGATACCAGGAAACTCCTCTGGATTGCCTTCTCAAGCAACTGAAACATTAGGAAGACAGATTAAGGTCCATGAAATAATGTCTAGCTATGCTGACACAATGATGCAAAGAAAAAGAAACCCTAAAAGGAATTTCTTCTAAAAATTTAAGAACATCATGCAAACAAATATTCAGAATGAACATATAGTACTTGATGAAGGTTTGTTTATACAAGTCGGAAACCTCACAAACAATTGAGAAACTATCCGATAAAAAAATGATGAAAGTGAGAAAGACAAGAGGATGACAAACCAAAAAAAAAAAAGAACGTATTAGTTCGTTGTCACGTTAGATGTAGTACTCACAAGCAATTTAATAAAATAATTGCTACCTTGGGATCTGAACTGTTGAATGATTTTGTTATTCTGGACAATGCATCGAACATTGCAGGAGAACCAGCTCCTTGGGCTGAATTAGAACCCACTTCCTCATGATCGAACAATGCTACCATCCTCACGTTGGACTCATCATCAAGAGAACTTTCAGAAGCTGTGGAGTCTACTAACGCCTGGATAGTAATAAGACGTAATTATTAACATAATTTGGGCAAACGTCTCTTATGTTTGCACTAGTGACAAATTTTGGGATGGTCATAATATTTATGGTTGATTCCAAAAGTGGACACCAGCCAAGGGATTAGTCATAGTATTCATTATTTTTCCTGGTCATCAAATTATGGATATTATACTATTAATAAGGATTTTCCAACAAGCTCAGGGACAGCAATAAAAAAACCTTTTCCAAAATTGGACCAGAAATGTATAATAAATACAAGATATATTAGCAATAGTCCAAGGTTTAAGGATGGTTTTCACCACATAAATAAACATAAGAAACCTGACCTTCAAAGAGCAAAATGACATGCAAAGATTGTCAAGTCTTCCTGAGAATATGAATTCTTTCATAGCACCTCCTATACGACTTGGTTGAGTATCACAAAGTTGCAGCTCAAAGTCGCATATTTCATCCGGTTTACAGAGAGCCTGGTCAGCAATCAGCTGCAACAAATGAAAGCATACACATCAAGCAATTTCCAACCTTCGTGGTTTGCATAAGGAGGAAATCAAATTGCTCTTATCTGAATTATATCCCCTGTAAAAGAATTAGAAGAAAGTATACTTGTACCTGCAGTAGAACTGTATGATGCTTTTGTTTATCAATATTCTTCTTGTCGTTTATTTCTTTTCCACCATTGCTGGCCTGAGGGGCACTATTTTCTTCCACTAGCTTTTGAAGTTCAGCCTACAAATATGATCAATATATAAAAATTAGACAGCATTCAAAATGAATATACATACAAAGCTACGTACACATACAAGCTAAAACACATTATCTCTAAATGAGGTTGGCTACTAAAGGCCAGAAGTTCCAATTTTGAGGAATGGCATAGGTTTATGACAAGCTGATGCCTGAATCAACCATCAAATATTTGGTGGCTAAAATCTTGCTTAGGTAAATATGCAAAATGAATGAAAACAAAAAAATGCATCATCAAGTTACAAATACTATTTAGGGAATAGGATGCTTGCAGTGGTAGAACTAGGAAACTGTTCTGAATCCTCAACTCCTGAAACCGCATGTAACTACTCATGAAACAGCATACAACATCATTTCATAGTCTACATTAGATTTCATCGTTCAGCGTGTCCGAAAAGAAAAGGAATAAAAAAAATTCACTGTCCTACAAAATAAGTGGAGTTCATGGTAAAATAAATACATCCCCTAGATTTGAAAATAAGGGAAACGATACATATTGGCAAAATATGAAGCTTATCATATCTGTTGCCATTCCAGTTCAGCTAGTAAATGAGGACCCCTTGAATCCATGATCCAGAATACATATTCCGAATTGTGAATGTCAGCAATTTGCAACGACCATATCAATTTTCTGGACACGCAACAACTTTTAGACTTGTTGTCAACTATATTTTAATATCTGAGCATGTGTTTCAATTTGATTCATCAATGAAAAATAATGTAAAGAGGACAGAAAAAGATTTATTTACTTATTTTTTTTATTATTTTGGTGTGGAATAACAAGATGGTTTATTTGGAAGGGAAAAAGTTAATACACAGAGATGCTCGCCACCTGTTCTCCCCTCCCTCACCCCTGCCCCCTCGTACATGCATGTATGATGTTTTAAAAAACTTCTGCCTAGCTTGTTTAGGCTCCCGCCTAGGCCTAGGAGCTACCTAGGCCGCCCGCCTAGTCTTGGGAGTGCTTAGACCTAGGCGCCACCTTTCGCGAACTGCACCACTTAAATCCTAGTCGTAATTTCCTATGTTGTCACCTCCATCGTCCTCCAAAACCTCCTCTGAGCTCCTTCGGCCTCCTCACCAACTACAAACACCTCCTTCAACTCCTCCAACCTTCAGCAAACATCCTCCACCACCACTTAACAACAACAACAACAACATGAGGAAAGTAATCCTCACGAAGAAGAGAAACAGATTAGAGTTGAAGATGACATATTTAATGATTATGCCACGTATTAGATCATTCATATTTTCTTTCTTTTGCTGATACTTTGAGCATAGGCTTCTGAAATTGAGATATTATGCATCATTGATATTGACTTGTTGTGTTCGTGTTTCTTAGCATTTATCATTTAGTCTATTTATGCAAGATTGATTATGAATCTATCACTATTATTTTTTTCAGTTTTGTATGAATTTAATGCATTTATTATTAATTATTGTAAGGGGCTGTTTGTTTGCCTAAAAAAAGAGGGAAATCAAAGAATAGGAAACCTATTTCTAAGAAAAATTGTGGGATGATTTTTTGGTTGACTAAAAAAAGAAGGAAATCAAAGAATGAGAGATGAGTTGTCACATTATTATTGGATGATGTGGGTGATTTTTGAGATGAGTTGTCACATTATTATTGGATGATGTGGGTGATTTTTTAAGAAAATTTGTTTTGAGGTTGTTTGGTTGGCTAAAAAAATTTTTTAAGAAAATTTGTTTTGAGGTTGTTTGGTTGGCTAAAAAAATAAGAAAATAAATTATAAGAAACCTATTTCCTATAATAGGTTCTTTTCTTGTATTTGGTTCATTCATAAAAATAAGAAAATAGATGAGATGAGATGTCATTATATTATTGGATGATGTGACCCACACTTAAGGAAATAGATTTCCTAGCTTTTTGGAGGAAATAGGTGGAAATAAAATGTTAATGAGATGAGATGAGTTGTCACCATATTATTGGATGTTGTGAGTGATTTTTAAAGATGAGATGTGATGGAGATGAGATGAGTTGGATGATGTGACTCATTTTTTGTGTTTGGTTTATTTTTAGGAGATAATATGAGATGAGTTGTAGGATGAAAATAATATTTTATTGGATGTTGTGATGAGTTTTAGGGATAGAAATGGATGAAAATAATATTTTATTGATTTTCATGTACCTTTTCCTTTTCTTGATTTTTAGGAAACCAACCAAACAACCCCTAACTAAAAATGTAATATAGGAAAACTGCCTAGGCTTCGGAGAGCTTAGACCTAGACGTTGCCTTACTTGAACTGCACCACTTAGATCTTAGTCGTAATTTCCTATGTTGTTACCTTCATCGTCCTCCAAATCTCCTCTGAGCTCCTTTGGCCTCCTCACCAACTACGAACACCTCCTCCAAGGCTCCAACTCCTCTAACCTTTAGCAAACCTCTTCCACCACCACTTAACAACAACAAGGGGAAAGTAATCCTCACGAAGAAGAGAAACAGATTAGAGTTAAAGATAAAACATATTTGATGATTATGCCACGTATTAGATTATTCATATTTTTTTCTTTTGCTGATACTTTGCGCATAGGCTTCTGAAATTGAGATATTATGCGTCCTTTATATTGACTTATTGTGTTCGTGTTTCTTAGCATTTATCATTTAGTCTATTTATGCAAGATTGATTATGAATCTATCACTATTATTTTTTCAATTTTCTATGAATTTAATGCATTTATTATTAATTATTGTAATTAAAAATAAAATATAGGAAAACTGCCTGGGCTCTAGAAGCCGAGTCGGCCGTATAGGCCGCCTAGTGCTCTCTACAACCTTGCATATATAATAAAGTGCCAAATGAATGAAAAAACATATGACTTCTTAAACGTCTTATAAAATCCATTCCATCCTACAAGTAAACTAACTAAACATCCAAAGCCGTCTACCCCAGTGTACCACATTCCTTAATAAGTAATATCGTAATCATAATTACATGTTTCCTTCCGCATACTGAAGTGGTTCATGTATCACCCCAGCGGCCCAGCGTACCACATTCCTTGAGAAGTAATATCATAATCGTAATTACATGTTTCCTGCCGCATTCTAAAGTGGTTCATGTATCATTTTCCCATTAAATTGGACTAGCACCATAACCTTGAACCTTAGACTTCAAAGATGGGTGGGTGAGAATGTAGGTGGTGTCATGCATAGGTAAAAAGTGTTGATAGCTATGTCAGTCAAGAGTTTTCCTTATTGTTCTTTTTAGTGGACCTGCCCATTTTATCTAGATGTGTTGGTTAAAGAAAAGGTATCACACATTATAAAGCATGCAATCAGGTGGCTGTATAAGAAAATCAGATAGCAAAGGTCTTTTTCTCCTTTTCACATTTCTTATAACAATTCCCGATATACAAAGCTATGCCCGGAGGGAAGGAGGGGATTCATTATTGAATGGAATAGATGGAAGTTATCCCCTCAGAATAAGAAAAAAAGAAGAATAGACAAAGAATTTCACTAAGGCTCTTCCTAACTAAGATAATAAAAGACCTGTTTCCCCTTATCTCACCTCAATTCCAAGCAGGTAAAGGCGTAAAACTATTCCAATCCCCAAAAAGAAATCTTTTCTATCAAAGTTCTTCATGCAGAATATTGAATTTTAGCTCAGAATTCTTTAGCAATAAATTAGTTTAGATAATTAGTAAACAACTTTGCATTAATCGTCCTATTTGGAACAAAAATGAACCTACATAGTTAAGAGGGTGGTAAATACAGTAAATGCAATCTGAAAAGAGAAAACAATCTGAAAGAATGCTAGCTCCAAACAACTCAAAAAAATTCTTTTCCACTATTTCATACTCAAGAATACTGTATGTCTCGTCATAAGTAAAATGACATAGGCTACACCCCATTTTCTATTTGCAGCCAATTCCACTCAATTTTTTCCCCCAATATTTCATTAGCCCTAGGATCAAATCTATCCTCTAAGTTACAACCAAAAAACCGAAAAACACTCAAGATCAAGGTGGTCCCTAGATCTAATCAAAACCAAAAACAGATTGATCCTTGGAGTTAAATTAATTTCCAAAACTAGAACATAAGTATCAAACAATCCAACTTAAGAAAACTGCAAAGCATAATGACTGAAGGGTGCATCATTCAGCAAACATAATTCATACTCCCCTATATGCCCTCTTATTTATTATTTCTTCAAAATTTTGCCAAGAACTTAGTAAAATAGAAAAACACTCAGCAGATACTCTCTATTCTCTAGAACTAATGAGATTAGACTAGCCTTGTTTGCTCTTACCAAGAAATTTGCCCAAAAGCTACACATGATGAGAACTTTTTTGAGATGAAACTAAATGAAGTACACCCCAACAGGTTAAAATTAGTTGGAGGAAGAGGAAAAAGGAACAACATCGACATAGCTCCTCACCAAATAGATAAGCCAAAAGACAAACATGTAAATTTCAGTCATTACGTAAGTTTCAGATCTCCATATCCCAATAAATGCATTTTCAAATGTGGATAGATGCCAAAGATGAGGAAAAAAATAGATGTGATTTTCTACAGGCATTTCCAAGATGTGGAACGATCAGAAATGGCCAGCAACTACTTACCAACTAAATTATGTATCACTTTATTGTGAAAGAATATATATTACCTTAACTGATGTAGCCAGCACAGGGACTAGTTGGCTCTGTGTATTAATTTTGAAGCCATCTGAATTAACACCCCTGCAAAGGACAGACGGGATAAATATTTGCAGGAATGGACTTGAAAATCTCGAGATACAAATGAAAGATAAATATATAATTTCTTGACTATGCATATATTCTATTAGAATAAATCAGAAGTTACTCAGAACAAAAAATGGATAAATTCCTAGTCCAACTCGACTAGATACCATACTCTCACAGCTGCAAATGCTGTCATGTAGAGAGGTGAACCGAAATGCAATGTTTCGATGTATTCTAAAAGAACAACTATAACATATCTAATATATCACTTGGGCAAAAACATGAAACTGTAGATTAAAGTAAAGTTCAAGTCTAAAACAGGTGCCAAACAAAAATTCATGACTCGAAATTAATGTACCTATCGAGGTGAATGGCGAGAGTAGGTATCCGCATGATTGGCTCCTCGATTCTAACAAGTCTATGGGAGTAGGATACTACACCATCCTTCACTTCTTTTACAATCACCCTTCCAGCAACTGCTAAGTCCCTGTCGAACCAAGTGTGCCACAAACCACCACCATATGTCTGCACACCAACTTCAAGATAACCTCCTTTCACTACCTAAAGAAACAATGATGATTAGTTTCATCCAAATATCTTCCTTTCAATATTATTTTCTTAATATGTAGATTTAATAAATGCTTTTAAAATCAGAACTTGCAAACGAATGCGAAAATAAGATTAAGCGCCATTAAAATTATTCAATCCTACCAGGTTTGGTATGTATTGAAGAGAAACACTTAACAAAGATCATCCCTTTATCAAAGCTCATAAGAGTATAAAAATCCCATGCGGTTACAAATTTAAAACGGATTAAAAAGTTACAGCTGCATGAGTCAAAGTTTTGGCCCATGAAAAGGGCTCCAACCTACAGAGGATATTGAGTGTAAACTATCCATAAAACTTTCCCACGACTTTGGAGCTTTGGTGCAGTGGAAGGTACCTTTAACAACAGCAAGTGATCTGAAAGTAAACTGCTTGAACCAAATTTTTGTTTATTTTTCCCCCTGATTCCTTTGCTATTTTTTGTCTACCATGTATACTTTACTAAATCATGTGACGCTGTCCAGATGACTGCATATTACACTCAAATGTCCAACAAATAAAACTTCTAATATATTGTCAACTTTATAGTCTGCTTTTATCTTAATTTTCCAAAATAAAGACACTGCCCAACTTAGCCATCTTTCTTTCTGCCTTATTTTTCCTAGCTAAATCATAACATTTTCCTTTCAAACATTAAATATATTAGAAAACGAACCAGTTATCACCTTGGACGCTGGCTTCACTTTAAGGCAAGGACTATCAGTATGTGCTCCAACGATATGAAACCCATTCCCCGCAACGTACCTAAAAACAAACCAAACCAAAAACTCCACTAAAATCACTTCAAAAGCACCAAAAATCCAATCTTTCACTTAAAAAAGCTACCTTTTGCCAATTGCAAAGGCAACGATTGTAGAGTGATTACGAGTGAAGAAGTACTTCTTCCCTGCCTCCAAGCTCCAGTCCTCTCTCTCCGACACGTGCTCGAATCCAGCAGCCTTCAATCGCTTCTTCGCCTCATCTGATCACAAAACTCGATTAGGGTTTGAATGAATCCTGGAAAGTTAATTAAAGATGATATTTGGATCGGTTGAGGAATTACCGACGGCATGGAAAGCAGTCGGCGATGCGTTGAGGAAGTCCACGAGGTCGGCGGCGACGGAATCGGCAGCCATTTGTGGGGGCGATGGTGATCAATCGATCGAATTTGCAGAATTTGTGGAGTCCTCGCCGGCGCCGGTATCAATGAGGTGCTGTTGTGCTTTTATGAAGTCTAGGAAAATTCTGTCCAGATCCTTTCTATGTAAACCAATTCTTTTCGATCCTCTACTTTTTTTTTTGGAGGAGCGATAAAGGCTACTAATCTTAAAACTAGGAGCTGTTTGGTTCGTTTTTTAGATATATGGAAATTCAATTTGATGTAAAGAAACTCAAGTTTTGAGTTTTCCAAACTTTTCTAAGAAATTAATTATTTTGGTTTGGTTCGCATATAAAATATGGTGGGAAACCAATGTATTTACTTTTCTTATGTTTGGTTTGCATGGAAAAAAGGGAAAACTTTTGTTGATTTGATATTTTCCACTTTTCTTGTGTTTGGTTGGTGTTGAAGTGGGTAGAAAAAAGTGTTTATGGTTATCAGAGTAAGATTACCCCCATTGTAGACAAACACAAGAAGTTAGAAATAACTAGCTGGAATTTAGAACTAACACAACATCAGCTAGAACTAGCACGATAGCCACTAGAACTAACAGAGGCTCAACTAGAACTAACATACCACTAGAACTAACGCTTATATTAGAAATAACAATAGCTGCAAGTTAGAACTAACACGACATCAGCTAGAACTAACACGAAAGCCATTAGAACTAACAGGGGCTCAACTAGAACTAACATACCACTAAAACCAACGCTTATATTAGAAATAACACTAGCTGGAAGTTAGAACTAATATGATATCAACTAGAACTAACACGAGAGCCGCTAGAACTAACAGGGGCTCAACTAGAACTAACGCTTATATTAGAAATAACACTACCTGCAAGTTAGAATTAACACAACATCAGCTAGAACTAACACGAGAGCCACTAAAACTAACAGAGGCTCAATTAGAACTAACAGACCACTAGAACTAATGCTTATATTAGAAATAACACTAGCTGAAAGTTAGAACTAACATTAGAACTAACAGACCACTAGAACTAATGCTTATATTAGAAATAACACTAGCTGAAAGTTAGAACTAACATGACATCAGCTAGAACTAACACGAGAGCCACTAGAACTAACAGGGGCTCAACTAGAACTAACAAACCACTAGAACTAATGCTTATTATAAATAACACTAGCTGAAAGTTAAAACTAATATGACATCAGCTAGAATTAACACGAGAGCCACTAGAACTAACAGGGGCTCAACTAGAACTAACATATCACTAGAATAGAACAATTATATTAGAAATAATACTAGCTGCAAGTTAGAACTAACACGACATCAGCTAGAACTAACACGAGAGCCACTAGAACTAACAATGGCTCAACTAGAACAAACATACCACTAAAACTAACGCTTATATTAGAAATAACACTAGCTTGAAGTTAGAACTAACATGACATCAGCTAGAACTAACACGAGAGCCACTAGAACTAACAGGGACTCAACTAGAACTAACATACCACTAGTTGAGAACAAACTTGAGCATATATGAACGAGCAGCACCTCTTATAAAACTGGTCATATGTGCACAAAACCTGGCTGAGAACAAACCTGGACAAAACAACACCACCAACCAACAACACAAAACAGCACCTGAACAATGTGTGCACACAAAACTTGTTTTTCAAGAACTCAAAAGCAACATGAACTCATCATCATCACAAACAGTCACAAAAGCCAACACAAAAACAAAACTGAAAACCAACATAAACCATGAAACAATATGCAAAAAGAAACACCAACCAGCCAATAAAATAGGAAACACCCACCAACTAATGAACCAGGAAACACCCACCAGCCATCCATGAACACCAACCAACCAACCAACCAAACACCCACCAGCCATCCATGAACCAAGCTCAGAATTATATCAACAATATATTTGAAAAACTGGACATTTAGAAATGAATTAAATAATAGCAAATAGGCTCTAAAAAGGTAAAACTTTGGGGAAAGTTTTTAAATATGAACACTAACTTGTTTGAAAGAGAATTTTTCAAATAGCACCTCATATTTATGAAAAATCATGTTTTGTGAAAAATGTCAAAAATACGAGTTCTTAACTACTTGATTTTAACTCGATAATTATAAACGTGTTTGAGCTAAACAAGCTCGAATAAATATAGTAACAAAAAAGAGCCGTGAGAGCTCGACGACAAGCACAAATAGCAACTAAAAACCTAACAACATAGGGCTAAACAAGCTCGAATCAGCATAGTAACAAAAAACAGCCACGGGAGCTCGACGACGAGCACAAATAGCAACCATAAACCCAAAAACATAGAGCTAAACAAACTCGAATCAACATAGTAACAAAAAACTGCCACGGGAGCTCGACGACGAGCACAAATAGCAACCAAAAACCCAATAATCGTCAAAAATTTCCATCCTCAGATGCATGTTAGCTGAGACTTCCTTTGAACAATTCAAGCATCTAAAATGTCACGGGTTTTCCATGCAACTTTCTATCATTTTTAGATAATTGGTTAATTAAGCGCTCCATGGTAGGTAAAAGTTTAAAATATTTAAGCCAATCACAAATTTGATTATTCAACTCTACCAAATCTCATTACATTCCGTTGTAGGACCTCAAACAAGTGTGAATTATGATTTTATTGAAATTAAACCCAAAACAAAGAAGAAAACGAGGGAAAGGATCGACCTTGGGGAGTTGACACCTCTCCCAAGTTGGCCTTTGACGTTTCTCCCCCATGCCCAGACCTCGCTGTCGGTCGTCACCGCAAGAGAATGGTAGTGGCTCGCTGCCCTCGCTGCCACGCTAGCAACTGAAGAGGGTAAATTTGGGATTTTAGTGGGCTTATAGGCATCGAGGAGAGGAGAGGAGAGACTGAGAGCTCCATTGTTATTGTCGCCGAAGCTGTAAACTGAAGAGGAAGAGGGGATGAATCTGATGGAGGAGAGAGAAAGGCGAAGGAGTCAATTTCATTGTCGACGAAAGAAGGCCGCATGAGATTTCTAGCGGGAGGAGAGCAATGAGGTAACCCTAACATCACCAAAGAAATCAACTAGAGAAACAAGAGAGTGATTGTCAGAGGTGGCCGAAGTTTTCCTCGATTTCTCTCGGTTAGGGAAGGAAATCGGGGAGAGAAAAAAGTCTGAGTTGGCGGTGTTTTCATCCCTGTTTCTCCCCTCCAACCCCAGCGAACCAAAGCCAGGAAAAGAAATGGGCGAAAAAAAATCTGATGGGGAGGCGGTGTCAGATCCAGAAATGGGTTTCCAGTGGTCTTTTAAGCGAACCAAACAGCCCCTAAGTAACAACACGTATAATCTTTAACGCTCAAAATTTATAAGTCATCTAGGCCTTCCACTTTTGTTTTTTATAGTAGAAAAATAGTTTGAAGTTTATAGTATAATTATCGATTTTCTCCCTTTAAACATTTGTTTTTTAAAATATTTTTTCGAGTAAATGAATCGTATCAAAACCTTAAGTTGTTCAACCTTTAAAAGAGGATGGTGAATTTTCAAATTTGTCGCTTGCAATTTTCTCTATTAAGAGTAGGTCACTCGCATGCGGGCTATTATAGCATAATACATCCTCTTTTTGGAGGAATAATTAAATAATAATAAATTTAACGCATTTTTAGATATTAGTCCCTTACATCTTAAATAATTGCATATTATGTAACGCCCCGCCCCGGAATCCCGGGGTCGGTACGCTACTAGATCTGATGGACTGGCCTCACAAACCACCACATGTCTTTTCAGCACGTTTTTGTCCTCACTCACGCGCTCCCTGGAAAACTTCCCAGGGGGTCACCCATCCTAGAATTTCTCCAGGCCAAGCATGCTTAACTTTGGAGTTTCTAAGAATTGGATTCCCGAAAAGAAGATGCATCTTGATGGTATAAGTATTCCAATCAAATCTATCAATACTAATCACATCACCCTCTCAATGGTTGGGGTATTACATACTCCCCCACTTAAACTCACAACGTCCTCGTTGTGCTAAACCATATCATCCAAGACCGTATCATCCGTGTGAGATTCTAGAGGTGGCTCCTACGGCCTCAAGAAATGGCTCCCGTCCTCTCGACGTAGCACTTTGCGCCGCATAGCACTTAGCTCTCACAATTCCGGTTGGCTTGGCTCTGATACCATTTGTAACGCCCCGCCCCGGAATCCCGGGGTCGGTACGCTACTAGATCTGATGGACTGGCCTCACAAACCATCACATGTCTTTTCAGCACGTTTTTTGTCCTCACTCACACGCTCCCTGGAAAACTTCCCAGGGGGTCACCCATCCTAGAATTTCTCCAGACCAAGCACGCTTAACTTTGTAGTTTCTAAGAATTGGGTTCCCGAAAAGAAGATGCATCTTGATGGTATGAGTATTCCAATCAAATCTATCAATACTAATCACATCACCCTTTCAAGGGTTGGGGTATTACATATTACTCCCCCAAATCTTAGGGTCTTATAAAATGGTCCATTACATCTTTAATAATTGCATATTACTCCCCCAAATCTTAGGGTCTTATAAAATGGTCCTTCAAGTTATATCATGTTATATTTGAGGGGAATATTCCGATAAATCTAATAGTTGGAGGCAATGCGAGCATTTTATTCATTTGGTATGTTGTCCAACTCATATCTTAATAGGTTTAAACCCAATATCCTCTTAAAAACCCAAATCTACTAGAATTCTTCTTCTCCAATGGTTTAAAAAGAACCCTAACTGAAAGTTGAGTTTCACAAAAGTTTGAAACCTCAGAGAGAGGGATAGTTTGAATATTACAGATCTTGGGTTAGGAATTAACCCAATGATGATTATGTTTTTTTAACTAAAATATTAATAAAAGGGAGCATTTTACAAGACCCTGTAGGATTTAAGGGACTAATATGCAATTCTTAATATTTGAGGGACTAATATAAAATTATTGAAAATTTAAGGGGCTAATATCTAAAACTCTAAATTTAATGAATAATTGTAAAAGTACACCATTTCAAAATATATTTATTTGCATTCAACTTTACACTAATCAGCCAATTTTCTCTCCTACTGTTTAAGAGCAAACAAAAACAAAACATAATATTAG